AGTATATTGTATATACGTTATTTGTGGTATAATTGTGAAACGAGTAATTTCCTTGTAAATAATAATATTATTTCTTATATTTTGTTTTATTTTTGAAAAGAGAATTTTAAAATTGGAAAATTAATAATGGTTTTTCCTCGACATTTTTCCTCCATTGAATTCATAATTCAATTGTAATATTTTACAAATAATTTGTTTAACGATGTTTCAAATATTTTTAAATATTAAAAAATATAATAGTTGATTTTATTTGCTATTTATATTTGATAACATTAAACGATTTATGTTATACATAAATATATAATAAATAATAAATATTATTAATTTTCCGATTTTCGGTTTTTTTCAGTCAAAGAGTCAAAATAGATAAATTTTTTTCTATTCTTTTAACTTACTTTTTCGCATTAAATCACTCTTTCCCGATTGTACTGTTGATAACAAAACACTTTGTACATATTCGCACATTGTAAATATTCTATAGCACGCGTAATTTAATTTACATATTTTACATTGTATCAGTACGAAAAAAGGGTGGATGGAGGACTTTTCCACAGCAGTGATGGAAAAAAATAAGTGGGACACGCGAGGATTTTGCAGCACCAATTAAAAAATCAATCAAGAATGTTAAAATGAACGTGTGCGAAACATAGCAATAGCGAAAAATTACTTTTGTATTTATGATGTATGCGTAAGTTAATTCGGGCTAAGGCCAGCAGCTGTTGAGATTATTCAAGGTTGTGTGTATCATAAGTATTTTAAATTGTTGAATAGTAATAGTGTAAATGGACATTATAGGCGTTGCACGATGCGATCGCGCTGAGAAGAATGAACCATTCGCGAAAATGTTCTCATTATTCTTGGCACAGCTATTTCGTTTCCCGAATATTTGAATTAGACTCCTTTCTCTCATTATGGTATTCATCTTATTTTAATTTTTGATTTTACTCTATGTTTTGTAACGAATGTACGCGGATTTTACACAAATGTACGCGTCAGCCTTTAACACGTGGGTATACAAAATACATCCTGTAAAAGATATATCAGCGACGCTAATAGAAAGGATTCTCATTATCTCGTTAGCATATCTTTTAATTTTCAGAGCGTGTATAGGGCGAAGCTAACTTTTCTATCGATAATCGCAAAAGAATAAATTTCATATACAAAGCACAAGTGAAATCATAATAGATGAGAGCTATTTGTTTTGACATAAATCAAATAAACTTATGTAATTATTGGAATTGTAAATTTAAATAGTATCATGAAAATAAAAAATAATATTTAAAATTTTAAATAATGAGATAAACAAGAAAGACATACGAACATCCAAGAGCTCATCTGAAAGATCTAAAGGTGAAAAATAGAAAAAGTGAAGAACAAAAAATATGTTGATATTTGCAAATTTTGCATATTTTCTGCAAATATGTTGAAAAATTTAATAAGTATGTTTACATATATAATTTCACGAGATAATTCTACAGTAATAAAAAAGCTAATATTGTCATTTAGAGTTGTAAATAATAAATTTTTATTTGAGCAATTGCTGGCAGTATGTCTCTTACAGAAATCTGCGAATCAATAAAAATATTCGCTATTTATATTCTCTAAAAGTTTATCGCTTAACTTTAGCTTCACCATATATACGTACATACACGTATGTGTATATGTGTTTATATATATATATATATATATATATATATATATATGTATGTATGTATGTATGTATATGTATATGTATTTTAAATTGCATTGTAGACACTTGTTTAACTTATGATTATCAACAGCGCAATTTACGCGATCTCTCTTCCATGACATGTACCTAATTATTTACTTACGGGTTTAACAAATCATCGCGTTTAATCGCGTTATTTTCTTGCTCTATTCTTTCCCCTTTTTCTTCCTTTATTATAATTAATTTACATTTAAATTAGCTCACATTTGGAGCACATAATAGATATTTCTCTTATCTTTCCCTCTCCTCCTCTACCTCTTTTCTTCCATCTTTTTTTCTTCCCGAGGTTTTATATATCGTAACGGTAGGCGATAACGCTGTTAGACATTTTAAGGTATATTTATTAGGCTGCTATGTGATTTTGTTGGAAATTATTTTGAGAGAACTTTTTTTTAATTCGGAGAATGGAAGTGCCCGGAGGTGCAGCTGCAACGCCGGCGGCCTTAGAAATAATGCAATGCGATGCGATGCGATACATAATTCGATGCGATGTTTGTTGTACATTCGCATTTGTATTTAACTCGACTATTTTGCGAGATTAGATTTGTATAAAAGCGTGTGGCAACAGACGGGAGCGATGGGCAAAGGACCAAAATGTATAATCCACATTCGCCAATCTAAAACTTTCTTCTTACGATTGGCGTATTCTCATCCATTTTTATATGCGATGCATTATAAGCATCAAAGAGTTCCCTTTATTCACAACGTGGACTCTTGAGGCATCTTGTACTTGCAAGGGCATTGTTGTGATACCACAGATGCAGCTTCATTGAAACTTGAAATAAAAAAAAAAAAAAAAATAAATGCGTTAATCAAACGATGTTTATTTCTTGTCAATTATTGTTATTAAGCTTTCGCATTACCATCTAGCCGCGTGTTGACTTTCGTTTTTGTTGATTTATCATTTTAAAATTCAGTGACACTACTTAAAATAAAAATCATATGTACTTAATTTCAAACAGATTTCTATCCTAGAATATAGAGCAATTAGAAAAAAAATTTTTTTAATATTTCTTTCTACACGTTTTTGCTATACTTATAATTTCATTTTTCATATTTTCTCATTGATTTATATTATGTTTTATTTATAATAAATATTAATTTATGTCCCAACTGAATTCAAATAATCTTTTGTCACATTCTGTTTTGAACAGTTTTGAACAATTTTGCAATTTTTTGCATTGTTTTGGATTAAAATGGTAAAAAATTGTATATTTATAAATTGTATATTTTTATAAGTTTTTATCACTCTTGAAGTTTTTTTAAGTATGACGGATCAAGCTAACCTCGTACCATTTCACTTCTAAGAAGGAGAAAACACATATAAAGAAAAAAATGTTGCCGAACCTCTGATACGAATCGGATTCGCTGGAGTAATTATCCAATTTTTTGAAAATTCAAAAATTTTTAACTTAAAAACAAAGCCGTATGTTAATATACGCCGCAATCCATAACTTTTTTTTTACCTTAAAACCTAATAAAAAATTGGTATCGAAAAACTCGATAAATATTTCTGGGATTTTCGTCAATTTTTTCGTATCGTGAATCGAAAAATTTCTATCACCCGAAGGGTGGAAAATTTTTTAAAGTTCCAACAGTTCTGGCAATCCTAGATAGCGCCTCAATAATTTTAATAATAGTTATTAAAGATAGAATTAAAATTGAGAGATTTTTCTGCATTTTTCGAATTGGAAAGTTTTTTATTTTCTGTTGAAAATTTTTGAAACATTTCGACAGTTTTGTTGAGAGTTCTGAGTAGCATCTCAGGAGTTCTAAGAAAAGTTCTTAACATTCTAAGCGCTGAAATCAAAATTAAAAGAGTTATAATTTTTATTACTGTATTTTGTAAAGTTGGCATCCTGAAAATGTATCAATGATTTTTTTCATTTAATCCACCAGAACTATTTTTAATTTTATGAAAGAAAACTTTTAGGGGTGCATTCAGAACTCTAACAAAAAATTCATTTTTTAGAAGATAAGGTAAGCTTCACAGACGTGACGACGCATTAATATGGAGTAATCTTTTTTTCTCTATATAGGAGACAACGACGAGCGGATCAATCATACTGTCCTCTTCCTCTTCAAAATTGTCATCCCGACAGTCTTTAGGAAGTCTCTCCGTAGAGAAAGACCTCTTTTTTTTGACGTCATTTACTTTTCACTCGACTAATCTTCAAAATACGAACCTGCACGTTCATGTTCTTTTTGCCATAATTATCCTTATCAACCACTTCTGTCTTATTTCGTTCAGTCGAAATTACATAATTATGCCGAAAACGATTAAAATAAAACTCGATAATCGGTCCCCTAGTATTTTACTTGGAAAAAATCAGGTAAGATATCGTTCGAATCTCAAGCTTACACATGATTGCATATTTTTTTTTTTAGAAAAATATTGGCCTTAGATCTCAATTATCCACCATTTTCCTTTCCATATATCATATTGTTGATTTTCTTCGCCTTGTATCTTTTTCTATTTTCTCTCCTCGCTGATTTTCCTAATTCAATCAATTGTTCGAATAATCATGGACACAGACAAATATTTATGTGAAAAACCATGGACACAACTAATTAAAACGCATTATTTAATCATTTAATTATCATTTGCCATGCCCACTAATTAATTAGAACACACCATTTAATTATCTAATTACCTAATTATTTAATTATTTACTATTTCCACTGACCCGTTAGAACATTCCCATATGGCAGACTATTTGACAACCGATAATTATGCTCCTAGCGCCATTTGCTTTGATGGCGCTATGGTTACTCATTTACTACTTACGCGAGAGTACAAATAAAAAGATTGAACAATTTCAAAAGTTTTATTTATTGTAAATTTCCTATCTACACCTAATATAAGATTACTATGAGTATAATTATGATGCACCACAAACATACACAGATACATTCATACATAGACACAATCATGACATGAAAATTTTAATGCGTTGATTTCAGTTACGTACAATTTCAATTTTATATATTAATAAAATATTTTAATATCGAATAAATATATATATATATATATATATATCTGCTGTATATATACGAAAAATGTTTATCACAATTTTCTTTTATTTTATATTTTTAGTATTAAATATTCCGATAGTTAAATTTCTGCAATTATTTAAGCTTTCATTTTGAAAATCTGAGTAAAATCTGAGTTACTCATTAATTATTCCAAAAATATTTATTAAAAATACTTATTAAATTTAGTTCTTTATATAAAATTATAACTTTTAAAAGTAAGTTATTTATTGTATAAATGTTTAACAGTGCAAATGTTTTTATGTATATAAACTGTACAAAAGTAAATAAAATTTATCTAATACTAATCTAATAAGCAAACTGTCCACAGTATGCCAGAATAGGCAATAAATTCAATCAATTGCTAGCAAATTGGCATTAACTGAGTCTACATTAAATTTGTGTTTTTTTTGTGAAGATCTAATAACAGATTGTCGGCAGGAATTATGCAAAATCTGTATTTAACTGATACAGCTCGAAGTTTGCCGCCAATCTGCCCTCATATTCCATTAATAAATTTTGGTTGTATTTCTCTAGCATTCTGTTTACAGTATTATATATATCTAAATTTTGTATCAAATCTGTAATTCTTTTGCTAATAAAATTTAAAATAGACACTTTGCACAAGGAAAGTTCAATATTAGATTATTTCAAAATTTAAGTGAATAAGTTCTCAATCAACCAAATCTGTTTTCAATAGACTGAAAATCTATTCTACTTAAGTTTTGAGATAGTCATTACGTATAAATGGATTTAATAGATATATTTAATAGAGACTTTAGTATAAATAAATATAGACATAATAAATTATATATATAGAATTTCAGGCAGTTTCTTTAACATTCGAATTGATGGTAGCCATTTCATGGTCTGCTGTAATTTTGTTCCTTCCATTGGATGTTGTAATTGTATCCTCACAGGTCTAAAAGGATGTAATATTTAATGTGCATTTATTCCTAAATTTTGATGAAAAGAATATTCGTTATTCAAAGAATATAAATACTTTTTTCTTAAAATTGGAAGAATTTGTCACAAAATTAACGCTTCAATGGCCGTGTCTCTAAACATAAATGCTAAAATAGCACTCAATAATTAAAATGCTAATATTTCGGCCATACTAAACACCTTACGTTATAAAGAAAACAATAATAGTGAATTACCCATAGTTTCTTGTTGTAATTCTACCTTGTAGGAAGGATTGTCGTATGCTGATGTCGTTTTACGAGGTGATATATCAGCCTTACTGCTTGTCCGTTTTTTCATCAGCATCATTAATAAAATCAAAGTTGATAATATCGCCAAGGAGGCTACGATGGCTACTATTACTAATGGACCATAATAATTTCCTTCGTGAAGGGGAAGTGATGCAAATTTTCCAGCTAAAAGAAATCTTATCATTAATTTTATAATAAAATTATGAAAAAGATTTACGAAATTATTTAAAAAAATCATGCTTTTAAAAAACAGGAATAGAGAGAAGAATTTTATAACTATGGATTAATAATGATTTTATATGTTTTTTTATTTTTATAAGATTAAAGGGAAACATCTTGAAGTGACAGAACAAATTTTGATATTATGCATACTTTTCTTTTTGAATTTTTATAAGAAATTATAAAAATATCTAAAAGATTCAATAATAACTTTATTATAAGGTCATAGTAAAAGAATAATATTTAAGAATACGAGTATCGTTACCTTGTTGAGATACTGTAGCCGATAAAAGGACACCTGGTTTAGTAACAAAATCCTGTACATTACTTTTTTTTATTCTGCCATTTGTCAAGTATATTTCAAGCCACAATCGGTATCTAGTGCCAGGTTTTAGATCATTGATTATGGTTCTGGCATGAGAGTCTCTCTTGGCGATCTTGAAGGTACTAGTATCTTCTGTACCAGTGTCGCTTTGGTAAATCGCATGATAAATGTTTACGTATTTGTCCTCCGGATAAGGCACGCCACTCCAGGATACCTCTACGTCCGTTGACTTTATAGTCCTTATTTCAACTTTTACATCAAAAGAGTAAGGATCTGGCTCTACAAATGTAGCTATCTGAATCTGCAACAATGGATTACAATCTTGTAACGGTATATGAGTATAAATTAAAATTGCAATTTAATTATCCATTGAGAAAATGGCTCTAAGAAGAGAAACATTCGAATATATTTTTTGTAATAAATTTATAATTAATAATGTCACAATAATATAATATTATATAATATTAAACAACATGAAAATTTTAGTTCAATAAAAAGAACTTGAATATTAAAATATATAATATCTTACTGTTTTTTCGCTTATTAACTCCGTTAATTGTCCTGGGAATGGTATGAAGTAAATACCAACTTCATATGTAGTTGATGGTTTCAGATTTTCGATTACATAGTTCGTTACAGCACGATGGATTAATGGTGTTGCTGCATAAACTTTACTATCATACTCTTTATATCTTAATTGAACGCCATCTATGAATTGCAATTCATTTTCGTTGAATTTCTTCCACATAACATTAATCCAGGTTGAATTCGTCTCTGCTATTCTAAGTTCAGCATCAATTGGTATTTGCGGAGGTAAAGTCGTCATTTCCGCACGTTTTTCTAATGTACGCACATTGTAAATTTTGCTAGTTGGACTATTAGTCAAATCCTTCAATTTAACTGTAATCTTCACTTTGTATTCGGTCATCGGCTTCAGATCGCCTAATTCAAATTCAAGCTGGGGCGTTGCAATTAAGTCGTTAGGGGGAGCAAACACCTGTACTTTCCACGTGGATAAGTCGAAATTTCTATAAAATTAAAAATTTTATTATTTTAAAGATTGTAAATCATATCAAGAATGAATATTTCATATTGTCAAAACATTGGAAAAGACAAAGATAAAAACATCGCAAACACAATTGATCATTTCCTCTTTTATATTTTGAAGTAGAACTTTTTCAATTCTGTTTCTTTTCTTTCGTTTCCTCCCTCTCTTTTTTTCTTTCTTTTTCTCTAACATGTAATTAGTTTAACACTTGACTTATAATTGTCAAACCGTTATAGATATTTGATCATGAAAATAAATATAAAAATAATACTGTAACTACTTCTTAGTTTGAGACATATATTCATGAAAAGAAAGACTAGTATATGTAGTATTGTTATTTTTAGACTTAGAATTGAGATTATTTTAGACATTGTTTTGAATAACACTCCACATGAGATAGTTTGTGGAGGTGGTGAGGTGATATATATCGATGAAGTTTGTGAAGTGGATCCAGAGAATGCCAGATTGCGTCTAACATCACTAGGAGTTGAAGAATAGATGAAGAAAAGCTGCTCGCAAAGATTAGTCCTTTCTTTATTTTTTTTAGTGCTTTTAGTAGCCAATAGACTACTAAGAAAGCTTTAATGACAGGGAATTTTACACAACAGGCTATATCGATGACTTAGCAATTCTTATTAGATGCTTTTCTAGAAACACTTCTAAAATTCATACTAGGAGCTCTAGAAACAATGGAATGGTATTGGGAAATCGATCTTTTTGTAATTTTTTCATAAAGTCTCCAATGTGTGTTTATTAATTTTTTTTCAAAGCCGTATAAATCATTCATAATTGAGCCATACAACCTTCATGAAACATCTACGTAGATCGAGTAGAGGTCTAATGGAAGTTAGAAATGTGCAATTATGAATCTCTAACAAAGGTCTACTGGAGAGTTCATGGACGTCTAATGGAAGTTATAAATCTCCATGGTGGACCTCTAATGGACATCCATTAGAGGTTTTTATTCCATGTGGGTCAACATTTTTCCTTATCTATATAAACATAATTATTAATTTCTTACACAATATCTAATGCAAGCAGATTAAGACTGTGCTAAGGGATTCAATCCAATATGGATTCTTGCCAAGAGCATAAACATCTTTGAAGAGAAGGGAAGTGCTGGAGATATATACAGGCACTATCGATTATTCTAAATACAAGATAGACTTATGTGACAATATACTGATGAAGAGACTAGTTTTCACATGTTCAGTCAATGTCTAGCCAAGTCTAGTATAGTCTGAACAGGTTGGGTTAAACTTTTGCAGGTTGAACAATTCCTTCTCTCTTGAAAATAGAAACAAATCTTAACTATCGCTGGAATTCAGGATGACACGATGGATTATGTGTGAGTGTCGTTCTTGGCGGATCTTCTGGAG